AATAAACGGTTTCAATTTTTTGCCTGTTATACCTAGCCCCAAAAACTACATACTTTATCGAGGTCTTAGTTTGAAACGATGGTTTATTTAAACTGTGGTTAACGGTGTTGGTTACTTATTAAGTCACTATTTCTTACCTACTTGTATGTACTGCTTGTAATGTGTTTGTTGAACCGAATAACAAAAAATATTTAAAAAAAATACACAATGTAAATATTCGCGATTTTAAATCCTGAATAAAATTATTTCCATTATTTAACGATCCATAGCTTGATTTACATGAGAAAACAATACACTGTGACAGTATAGTTTGCTTAGTTAGTTAGGTATACCTTAGAGGTGAACAATCTCTTTTGTATTTATCTTTCTCATTATTATTACTAAAGCTTACTGTAAAGTAAAGGTTACGACGTGCTGTCTCATTCGTTGACCCCAAAGAACGTTCTTGGCTTTTTAATAATAATCAATTTGCATAATTTCGGGCATTGCTCCAACAAAACTTGGATAATACGTTGTACGTTACAATTTCGAAGATTACTCCCCCTAACCAAGGGTAAAAAGTCGATTCTAAGGGCGCTTTCAAGTTACACGCACCAACCACGCCATTACTAATTTTCATACAAAGTAAGCAATTAACTAAATTTAATGTAAATGCATATTTCCAAAACCTGAACGCCATAGTGCCAAAGGTTAAGAAAAAAAATTAAAAATAAACAAACTGTAGGCATTTATCAATTAAGTATATATCTATTAATAAAGTATTTTATGAGGTCACTTAGTGCAAAATTATAATGAACTTATTGAAAACGTTTCTAAATATTATATAATAATATTTTCACGTAATAGACAACATTTCGAATTTATAATAGTACTAATTATATAATAATAAATAAATAATAAATAAATAACGCACACACTCAACATAGCCCCGCACTATGGAAACCCTGTGTCGCGGGTGCCATGGACACACACATAGACAACCACAAATTACACCCAAACTCACGAGAGAAATAATTGTAGGCCATACAACTATTTCTCTCGGCCCGGGAATCGGACCTGGGACCTCTGCGTGGCAGTCCGGCATGGTAACCGTTCGGCCACGGAGGCAGTTATATAATATAAATATTTAAATAAAGATGTTTACTAACACGTATCACAACTTTCCTACGATAAACAACCTTACCTAAGGGCCGGCAGCTACTTTGCCCAACGCGTTAGCATAGCCATACAAACGGGGAATGCTGCCAGCATCTTGGGCACCTTGCCGCGGGGACCCAATTTTATTCATATAATTTAATTCTAGTTTTATTTTCTAGTATTTAAACTTTTATTGTACCTTATTTATACTTAATTATAATTATATAATGTTAGTCAGCTGTGACGTGACCATGAGACCTTATAAAGAGCCCGTAACATTGCTTTGTTTGGAAAAACAAATATACGTGATTTAGACGGGTCTAAATTTTTCGGAAAAAAGGAAGCCTAAAATTCAGCTTTTAAAACGATCACAGCTAATAACATGCGACCAATTAAAGAGTACAACAGAACTACGACGTGTGAAACTCGCTACTAAATATTGTACTTGACCGGTTAACCAAAGTGGCAGCTGAAGCATCGCAATCGGCAAAACGAGGTCTACAACCCCTATAAGCGGTTATTTTATATCTTATTTAGTTTCATTTTTATTGAAACAAAATCAAAGTAATTGACATTTTTCAAAGAAAAAATACTTTAGGTGCCAAAATCTCGCAAGTTACCTAAATACAAATGCGTTAGTTATGACAAGGAGGGCAGTATACCTCTATACCGACTATAGATAGTGTATGAAAATTTTGTAATAGCTAGCGCGGCTGCTGCGCTACAGACGTGCCACTGCAGCGCAAATTTGAAGGTTCTACGCTTCTACGAGCAGTAGAAACATCAATCCTGTCGATATTTTGCCACACATGTCACGGCTTCCTCTTCTTCTTCACCACCATTGTGAAGCCGTCCTCGACACTTTTATTTAGTGCGTTTTGTTGTGCAGTTTGTATAACGATCGCCCTGGTGCGCAGACGCAGGTTCAAGTTCTGTCAGATCGAAGGATTTTTTTTTGCGTTCGATCTTTGTATTAATAATTGTAGAATTAATTAACCAATATAAATGAGTGGTACAAAACATTTCGTGATTCATTAGTAACATTTTTCAGATGTTATGGTAGTAAAATAAATAATAAAAAATAAAATGACATTTATTTATCCGCAAAACACGTAAACTATAATATACGCGGACAATTACAACAAAAAAACAGTAATGTAGACAAAAAGGATGAAGAGCATTACTGATTTTCAATCTTCACCTGTTCATCTATTCGTTTGCTGCATCAGACCAAAGTTAAAGTCGATTATCTCTCTCTCGATATAAATAATCATTTATTCCATAGATACATTTTTGACACTTGAAAACGTCATTTTCTAAGCTACTGCTCGTTCACTGTGCTAACCTCCCTGAGAAGAAAGGAAAATTTTGTGGAATCTAGACTCATGTTGTCTTTCCGTACATTTTTATCTAACACATACCATCAAATTTTAATCGACTTCAAAAAAGGAGGAGGTTTTCAATTCGACTGTATATTTTTTTTGTATGTGTGTTACGCGATAACACCGGTATTTGTGAACCGATTTTCATGATTCTTTTTTTTAGTGGTCCTATTTCATTTTGAAGAAAATCATCCACCTCTAAGGGTGGCTATTCACGCATGAACATTATTTTTTATAAATAGCGCCTAAATTTTAGTTAAGGAGTAATTATTTTAGTGATTGGTTTTGCTATTCTCCAATTCAAGGCGTTTTTCTGTCAATATACTTTGAGTAGTGAGAACCGATTTTTATTATCTCCCGTGTCAAGTACTGTATAGAGGCGAACTAGGGTATATTTCAATAAAATTGGCAAATAGACGTAATTCCATGTACCTACTTTTGAAGTCGGTTTTTTAGTACTCTGTACTGAGATTATGTAGTACGACTTTTCAATTAAAATATTTTTTAATGTAAGTTTTAAAGTTCAGAAATGATAATCTTAATATATAGGTACTTCGGAATCTTATTGTAATGAAGTCGGTTAAAACGTATACAGTTTCTTATAATAAAATAATCGTTTACCTTAGTTAAACGAAATCGTGGTACCATGAGTTTGGACTTTCTAGTACACTCCCGGACACGTATTTCGAGCCACCTCGCATTTTTGTCCTAAAGGGCTAGAATACAAAAATAGTTTTATCATCGAAGAAAAAGTTTTCCCCCGGTTTTTCAAATCCAAATTCCCAACAAGGACTTATGGAAAAAACGTTTGTAGTTGCAAAATTGCATAATAGTTTTTGATCAATCAAACATTGTTTAAGCTTAGGGCACCTAATACTGAAAATGCGTGGTGGCTCGAATTACGTGTCCGGAAGTGTATTAATATTATGAATAATTATATACATGTTTATATATTTTTTTAATTTTTGTTTACTGTATATACTAAACACCGAGTAATTATACACAGGGTGTCTGTGTTGCACTATATGTAAAAGGTGTAAAAATTGAATAATTGTTATTAAATAATTCAAAATTTTATTTATTTAGTGTTGCTAGGTGATTTAACCACGGACCAATTGCTACTCGATTTGTGCACAAACAGGAGTCATTGTTTACACATAGTTTCGAAAGAATCTAGCGTTTTTGCATTTTTTTTACCGAAGGCGCCAGATCATTCCAGCACTTGCTCTCAGCGAATCGGAAGCTGCAGTAATAGTCAACAACCGTCTCTTTTTTAAATTTTTTGTCAATTGATATTCTATTATTTTTTTGTGAAATTACTCCTCAACAAGCACATAGAGAAATTCGTGAGATCCGCTGGTTCGTTCCGTGGCTTGGTTGGCATAGCGCCTGACACGGTTTGCTAGAAGACGTCGATTCGAATCCGGCTGGATCGAAGGATTTTTTCTGAGTGTTCGATCTTTATATTAATAATTATAACCGTCTCTTCGTTTGGATACAGCCAAGAGTTTGGGTACTTCAAGCTTGACACTTGGTACTTTGGGCTGTTCTTATCGCAAACGACATAAGGTTGAATTTAAATATGAAGTGTGAGACATGACGTAACTCGGACCTTGGACCAGGTAATAAAATATTATGAAAATTATAATTATTTAAAAGAACACACGAGCCATACGGGCCGAACTTTACCATCTTGTACTTAATTTCAGTTAGTAACTACAAACAAATAAGTAATCAACACTAAATATAGGCTACTAAGTTGAATAAATATTTACACGAATCAATGACCAAACGCCATTATCATTACAATTATCACTGAGAATACGTTAAACTCATGTTTGTTGACGATAAACTCCATGTACCAATGTTAAAAACATTTAATTTGCTGTAATATGATCTCTATTAAATAGAAGGAATGGAATATGGCAGAGATTTCTTAAAGTTGTTAGATAAGGTAACGGGTGTAAATATAATTCTTTTTTTTCATCATTTGGTATTCCGAACTCGTGAAGTCGACTTGTAATTGCAAAACAAATATGGCAGAAAAAATCGCATTAGTCACCGGTGCAAATAAAGGACTGGGATTCGCAGTTGTTAAAGGATTATGTGAAAAATTCAAAGGAATCGTGTATTTAACGTCAAGAGATGAAAAACGAGGTCTCCAAGCCGTGCAAGTATTGAAAAAAATTGGCCTGAACCCCCAATTTCATGTATTAGATGTGACAAATGAAGACAGTGCAAAAAAATTTGCAGATTTTTTGAAAAATAAACATGGTGGTATCGATGTACTAGTTAATAACGCTGGTGTCATGGATTTGGGTAACGTTTATCCAACATATGAAGGTGCAAAACATAACATCGATGTGAATTATAGAGGTTTAGTGACAGTCGAAAAGTTCTTGTACCCTTTGCTAAGAGATGGCGCCAAAGTCGTTAATGTTTCGAGCGCGTGTGGCCTTCTGTCAAATTTGAAAAACGAAAAATGGCTTCGTATTTTGAAAAATCCAGATCTGACGGAAGAGGAATTGAACGATTTTGTTGAAGAATATTTAGCCAGTGTCAAAAACGGAACGTTTCGAAAAGAGAATTTTGCTGACGAAGGAAAGCACGCTGAACACAGAGTGTCCAAAATCGCTGCTACTGCATTAACTATGGTACAGCAAAGGAATTACGCTAGTAGAAATATATCTATAAACGCTATTCACCCTGGGCATATTAAAACTGATATGGCGAAAGGTGGAGGTGATTTGGAGCCCGAAGAAGCTGCCAAAGGCATTCTATTTCTAATTTTAGAGGCGTCACCTAATCTAAAAGGCACTTTCGTGTGGCATGACGGAAAACTAATAGATTGGTATGACAATGAAAGCAATGACTACTACAAGTATTGTCCATAATAAACTAGTACCAAAACTTATGTAAATTCTACTTTTGTCACGAACAAATGCGATTGCTAAAATAATGAAAATCACTATTAAATAAAATAAATATTTGTTGACACTATCGTATTGCTTATTACGGCGTGCTATGGCACAGCGTGACCATGGTCGAATTTAAATAGCCAGATAAAAAGTCGCTGTTTAGTCGGTTCTAGTCGCAAAAAACTAGATTTAGTCGGTCCGCCGTTCAAAATTAATTAATATAAAAATAAGAAATTAATAGAAAAGTGAATGCCAGTGCTTGTATCACGACCAGCAATCCGAAGTGGGAATATAAACGCTCACTATAAATACTCCCGGTAACGGAAAACAATACTGCTAGCGCTTCTTAGTAGCGGTCTAGTTGAGAGCTTGAAGCGAGGAGACACGCGGGACACGTAAGTTGCCCTTTAAGTCGGTAGCTATGTCCGGACATCGTCACAGGACACTGCTATTTGGCATCTCCGGCACTAACCCGGAGAGCTAATAAATGTTGAGCTAGACATTTCCCGGTTAATTTGGGAACTGGACAGAAGCCGTTCATTCGGCGTCGGGAAGTGAGCGTGTCTTACAGCTCCTCCACCAATGAGGACATTTGGTAGTCGACTCAGAGTCGGCAACTCAACGGTGACAACCGTTAGTCGGTTAGAGCGAGAGCGCGACGGGAAGTGAGCGTGCCTACAACTCCAGTATCTATCTGGGAAATAGGGAGGGTGCTGTACGTGCACCCGGGGCGGCTCACCTAAAGCATTAGCCTAACAGAGAACCGGATGAAGGCCGTTCAAACGGGCTGATCCGTGGTTAGGACCTGACTTTGATGGTCCAGAAGGGGAGAGTTGCATTAGGGACATAGGAGTAAGAATAATATTTGTACTTTGTTTCGGCCCGTATAACCAAGAAGGTTGATAGGGCCATGGGAAGGTTGGTGGGTCCCTGTGCGGGTTCGCTCGCACAGGCCAAAGTGCCCTTCCCGCATAACCAGGAGGTTAATAGGGAGGGGCACTATAAACAAAACTTATATAGAAAGATATGGGACTGCTCATTTGCCTACCTCTGTATCAATACACAATGAGTTTGCAGTAACCGACGCACCTAGCGACCGTTTAAAATTGTTGATAGTTTTCTACTTAGATTACAAAATTGTTTTGTAATCTAATGTTTTTTATGGCAAATTTGACAACGCCCTAGTAGCCATAAGAAGTAACCTCTCATTAGTTTGTGGAAAGTCAATGTTTGTGGAAGTAACATTTTGTATAGTAGAGGTACTCTTAGACTATGGATTTTTTTCCATTCTTTAAGGCGGTACTAAACCTTTTCGTTAACTGTGACATCCAAAAGTTTTGTTACGTATTTTTTTTTATTCAATACGCCTGAAAGAAAATTAAGAGCAATATTGTGTTACTGTTTGCTCAAATAAATTTACAGGCGTTTGGAAACTTTGAAACATATCGCTTTAAGCTCTAATTCACAATTATTGCTGAATAATATATCGCTGTTGTATAACATTGCAGCTGATTAGTGACTTCTGCTGTTTTTCTTTGCATAATTTATATTGTTAATAAACCTTATTTTCACTTCTCATGCTCTTAAAGTACGTATTTATGCTGGGTGTAGGCTGCTAAAATAGGATTTTATGCTCTAGTGCAGTAAATTAAAATCGTCGTTTAATTAAATGTGTCTAATTGTTGTAATTTTACATTCAATTTTAATTAAATAATCGTTTATTGCTAATATTGCTGTTTAATTTCCTCGCAATCGAAGTAAAAAGCAGAGGTATGACTCGTTCATAAAACCCATTTTACCCTCGACATACACGTCTCGGGTAAAATGATGCGTTTTATGCACTTGTTGTACCATAGATTTAGTATTTGTACAATCTACTATAGAAACCATTCCAAGCTGTTTAGTGAGCTTTGTAGTACGTGCAGCGGAACGTAAAATTTGACAGTGATAGAATCAGAGGACGAAAAATTTTACTCGAACTTGACATTGACATTTGTAAGTTCATAAAAGTTCATAACATGTTCGTAATAGTGGTTTGTGGTGAACTTGTTGTGAACTTTAGTTAAAGTATTATATTATGATGTTACATAATTTGCGCAATGTTGATTCGCGGTTCAGCGGTTGGCTCGGTCAGAGTGATTGGAAGATACACGTGTTCTTTTTTCGCAAAAATTTTTGTTGACTATTTTCTTTCTGTTTGAAGTGCAAATTTGTTTATTTTTGTGGATTCCCATATTTGTGTGTGCCGTTTATTGTATTGTGTGTTATCTGCGTGGTGAAGGTAACATTTCCTATTAATATATTAATGGAATATTTTTCGGATTTAAATCGCGAATATTTGTTTTTTCAAACAAACCAACATTTCGGGCCGTTTACAGGTCCCTTTGTCACCGTTGACTGAGGTGTTAAAGTCATCAGCCAGTTATATCTAAGCGCCGGAATACACGCCTGATTTTGTATCTTACGGTTCTGACTATCGGATCGGATTCACTCAATACGCGTCCGATAGGCGTCCGATTCTTTAGTCAGACTTTTATGAAATAAGTTATTTCAAATAACTGCTGTGTTGCCATATTGTGGGGAATTCCGCAAATGCACGGAATTTCAACTCAACAACTTTGGGGATGGGGATTTTGTGAGAATTACGCTATGAGGGCAAAATGCCCTCTTTTTTCATCATGTTTTTGTTAATTGATGATCACTGATAAAAACACTATTTATTTGTTTGTTTATGAACGATATTGATGTTTTTTCAACGTCGCAGATTCGCTTATTACCCTTCCTCACATTTTGGCTGGTCACCGGCATGAAAAAAAGAAAACGGCTGAAGCCGAACAAAGCCGAGCAGTAGGTATTTTAATACCACAACTTGCCACTCGTCAAGCTTAAATGAAATGAAATTATGTTTTATTTCTCAATCACAAAACAGGCTTAAAAGCAGGGGACTTCAGGTTAATACAAATCTAAAAATTGGTCAGACTGTTTTGTGAGAGACTGATGCCCTAGATAGGTATACAAAAACCTGAATTATGGGTCACCAGGCTTCTACTCTGCAGTTGAGCAATGTGGTTGTGGCACTGAAGTTGTGACAAAGGATAAAATTTATAAAAGTTAGTGAAATATTCCTTATTTATAATAAAAGTACTAGTGAACTAAACTTAACACTACTAAGTTTAAAGCTAATTAAACTCACTATATGAAAAGTGTGAGAATGAATGAGTGAATGTTTGTAAGGTGGATGGGAGATGATGCGTTACTGATTAGGTGTATGTTTGTGTATGTTTAGGTGTATGTTACTGATTAGGTGTATGTTTGTGTATGTTTAGGTGTATGTTACTGATTAGGTGTAAGAATTGTATGTTTGGGGTGTATGGCATGTATAGTGTGCGAATGTGTTGAGGCGAGAGAACTACGACTTGGGAACAGTTAAACGAAAGAAGTTTTATTTGAGGATAAGAAGAAGTTCCTCAGTTTCATCATAATTTTGGGACTTGATCCAATCAGAGACAGTTTTTTGCAGAGAGATTTTGAAAGAGCGTAAAACGAACGCTTAGTGTTTAATTTGTTGTACAAGTAAAGAGCGAGGAAACAGAAGAAATGTTGGGAAAAACTGGTATTAACTACATTTATCTTTGGTGATATTAGGATCAGATGCAAGTAGGGAGTTCTTTTTGAGGATGGTCTTACATACAAATAGTTGTCTAATGTGCCTACCACATCCCATAGCTTATAGAGATTAAATATTAAGGTTTAAACTTTATTCAACTTGTTGAATTTATTTCTATTTATAGCATAATGTATATGTATAGATGGACACATTTTGATTTTCTTAATTATTTGACATATTTTTAAGTGTAACAATAATAATATATAATAAATACTGAGAACTTAGAATAATAACGCATAGAATGATAGTTTCATATCAAACGAACTGTCACAAGTGAGGCAAAAAGCAAATTCATGTAGGCTAGTTTTAGTAGTAGGTTAATTTTCGGTTTTAGTGAATATTTATATAAAAATACAAGTTGAAACGCATTACTTCCTTGTGGAATGTGATGTTAGTATCTATTTTATGTTTGTCTGACGTATTTTTACACTCATTTACCGCACATTTCGTCATTTTTAGCTAAAATTCTTGATCTGTTCGCGGTGCAGGTTGACCTTGAGCACTGAAGGCCTGCCCGCTCGTGTAGGCCCATTGGGCGCGCTTCAATTTGCCTCACTTAGCGTGTGCGGACTAGGTTTCTATGCGTTATTATTCTAAGACTGAGAATGAATAAATATTATTACATGTAGGAAATGTGACCTTTGCTCTCCCCAAATTTATAACCTTGATTTTTGGGGATTTTGAATAATTTGCATTGGCAACGCTGCAAATCAGAGGGAAGAATCGGACGTGTATTTCGTCTCCCCGCAAAAGTATAGAGAGCACGCCTTCAAACAATCGGACCTGTAATAAAATCGGACGCTATTTTCAACTCAGACGTCCGATCCGATTATAGAATTATCCGATTATCGGGTCGGACATGTATTGAGTGTTCATACAAATATATGGTATGAACGCCTTCCAATAGTCGGATCAGACTATCGAATCCGACAATCGGATGGAAAAATCGGGCCTATATTCCCACACTAATATTCATGTAAACCACTTTATTTTTTAGTATAATTACAAAAGTTCCGAAATGTTGGTTCGTTTGAATAAACTCCAAAAAATAATATTTTTTTATTTTTTCTCTCACAGCAAATAAATACAAACTTAACCCTTAATTTGATTTCGTCCGGTACGGCGGACAACTGGTTTGAAAAAATATGTCACTTTTTGGGGAAACATTTATTTCATTTTATATATAGAAAGTGATAGTTTGGTTAATTAGTCTTGGTAGAAAAATATAACTTGTGTACTGGCAACACTCGTTTGACAGTAGCTCCACAAGATGGCTCCGCGTCGGCAGTCAACTGTTTTTAACAAGGTATTTATGAGTTTATCTTTTGTTTTTTTCACATATAGCGTGTTTTTTATGCTTAAATAATACACTCTATTATATAAGTGTTGCATGTGGGTATTTTTTTGTTGCATTTTGTTGTTTTTTCAATGTTTAATCAGCATCTGTGCATCTTGTCCGCCGCACCGGACTATGCCAAATACGCAATATATTACTCTGAATACTACTTGTCCGCCGGGGCGGACATTGCCAACGTTATAAGGGAATGTCTTCTTAACAATTATTATTTTGTTTTGCGTTGTGTTTCTTTTATTATGCTAACAAATTTTAATTTGCTTTATAACAGCGTGTGGTGTTGAGCCGTGCAGCTAAAATCTTGGCTTTAATACCTAAAGAGCATGCTGAATCTGAGACAAGTGAACTTTCAGCCGATGAAACTGAATTGCATGAAAGCTCTGCCGCAAGTTCAAATGTTTCGTCACCAGCACCTTCTTTGGCATCTTCTTTAGAACGTCTGAATATATCAACTAGTTCCGAACATGACCACGAACTACAAAATACTCACTTTGAAGTACACACAACGGAAGAAATGGATGTCCCTTTAACTCCTATTATGCATGAAGTTATAGATGAAGAAAACTATACCAATATTCCATCTATCTCATCAATTCCATCTTTACCCACACCGACTGCTACGTCACGAAAAACCCGATCCAAGCGTCCTAAGGTCCTGAGCAAAAGATCCAAAGTTCTCAAGAAGTTTTCATTAGAGTACACATGGCGGCGAGCATTTTTCCAACATAGAGCTGAACTCGAAACAAGTAATGAAAATGATGAGTACGAAGACATCAGTTTAAACGATACTGTGTTGGATTATTTTATGAAATTCTTTTCAGAAGATATTTTTGTGGACATTGTTAACGAAACTAACATGTATTCTGTGCACAAATCGGGAAAGTCCATTGATTTGTCAGTTGATGAGTTTCGCGACTTCTTGGCAATTAAAATAATGATGGGTATAGTCGTTATGCCATCTTACCTAGACTACTGGTCAAAGCAATTTAGATTTGCTCCAATAGCGGACCTCATGAGCCTCAAAAAGTACCAACTAATACGTCGCTATTTGCATTTTGCTGACGTAAATTTTGAAAACTCAGATAGGCATTATAAAGTGCGACCTGTCGTCGAAAAAATCAAGAAAAATTGTCTGGCTCAGGAAACAGAAAGAAACTTTAGCGTCGACGAGATGATGATTCCGTATAAAGGAACCAAAGCTGGGAAACGACGCCAGTATATGAAAGACAAGCCTAATAAGTGGGGCTTCAAAAACTATGTGCGAGTTGGGCCAAGTGGAATGATTTACGATTTCATTCTGTATGGAGGCGAAGACACCTTCCGATTTCACAAATTTGCCGACGATGAAGCGACAATCGGCTTTGGTGCACAAATTGTACTAGCTCTTTGTCAATCGATAAAAAACAGACCATCTACTGTGTGTTTTGACAACTTCTTTTCATCTCCAGAGCTTGTGTATATTTTACGTGAAAGATATGGGCATCTTTTCGCTTGGAACCATTCGACGTAATCGATTGAGAGGAGCAGATGAAAAACTGGTGAATGAAAAAATGCTTAAAAAGAAACCAAGAGGCAGTTTTTCTCAAGTTGTCTGTAATTCTAATAAATTGGCAGTTCTTCGCTGGAATGACAATAAAAGCGTAACGTTCATAAGTTCTTACGTCGATTCTGAACCAGTTCAAAAAATAAAACGGTACTGTAAAATTGCCAAAGCCAAAATCGACGTCGATTGTCCCAACATGGTAAAAGTATATAATAAGACTATGGGAGGCGTTGATTTATCTGACATGTTGATCGCACTCTATAGGATTCCATTTAAAAGTCGCAGATGGTACCTTAGTATATTTTCCCAATTCCTTGATATATGTATCAACAATGGATGGCTGTTGTACAGAAAACACTGTGGTTTGAGACAAGTGCAATCAAAACCACTGAAATTGTTCCGTCATGAGTTATTTGTTGCCTTAACGAAGTCTAATAGGGCGGTGTATACAGAAAAAAATGAAGAGTGCAGCGTGAAAAGAGAACTGACAGCTCGACCGGTTGATTCAGTGCGTTTTGATAACATTGGGCATTTTATGAGTACAAAAACTGAGGGTCGCTGCATGTACTGCAATAAGAAAACGGTAGTATACTGTATAAAATGTAACGTAAGACTTTGTTTTGTAACTGGAAAAAAGCCCAGAAATTGTCAGTTAGATTTCCATATGAAGTAAAAGTTTAAATATATAATTCTTATTAAATATTTGTTTGTTTCTTTTTTAACTATGTGTTTGGCAATGTTCGCCTTGGCGGACACATTAAGTTATGGAACTTATTCTCAATATTTGGCAGTGTCCGCTGTGACGGACACGTTTTTTTTCTAAAACTATTATACTTACTTTTTTTTTATTATTTTTCCTAAGCTCATAAAACACCTGTGATCCAATATATATAGGAATAAATGCCACTTTATGTCACCAAAGTCTTTGCCAAATTAAGGGTTAAGGTACAGAGTTAACAATATCTAAATTGTGAGAGGCAGGAGCCTAAACTAGGGTACCCCTGTGTCTCAGGTCTCCTGGACCTTCCTTTTGATTGAACATCTTTTTACTCTACTTAAGTTATAGTAGCTTACATTACTTTTCAACATTAATAATCACTTAGAAATGATTTTTTTTAACATTACTTTTTTCCAAAAATATTGATATGATATTTATTATTAATAGTTTAAATAAGTATTATGTAGGTTTCACAAAGATTTATATCCACATTTATACATTTATGTTTAATTATTTCCTTTTATTTATAACTATTATATATATATATATTCTTGTTAGAGCATGTGTGTGTGTGTGTGGTAGCGTGAGCGCATGTGTGCCTAAGCTCCGAAAAATAGTTTCATTTCCTATGTGTAACAATCGCGAAAACCTCTAACTTAAAATCGATAACTTTTATGTAGTTACAGTATATACATATGTATAGAGTATAGTGTCCGATATGGAGGTTAAAGGAAGCGGTACCGATCCTCCGGATATATCAGGCGATTCGGTGCTGCTGACGCCATCCCCATTCCCTTTTACGCCAACTACATACTCCTACGACTTCTGGTAGTAAGTGCAAAAACCATTCAGCAGCGTCTGGCGACAATGACCCCAAAAAAATTAAATTTAGTTGTCCCGCGGCGTCTATACAGACGATTTTCACGCACCCCAATGCCGATGAAGACAAAACTTTATTCCTCCAATGATAGAGGACCATTTGTAGTACTTACACGTTTACGTTACGTTTCACTCAAAACTTAGAATACGGGATAGCTCCATTTGCGAATGTGGTCTGGATGAAGGCACCCCAGACCATATATTTTTCAACCAGAACATGTTCTATTTATGATAGTCTTCCACCTTTTATTCCTCGCCCCGTAAATTTCAAGTTTTTTTTCTTTTATTGAATGGCTTGTGAAACTAAATTTTAATAGTCTCAATTCTGCCGGTGCCCGTTTTCTAGTTTAAAAAAAAAATTATTTATTTAAAAATTTGTTACAGTGATGGTATATCGTGTTGTTTTCTATTGTTCTAGAAGCCGGAATAGATAAAGAGCAGTGTTAATTAATAAAACATATAAAAAAAATGAAACTGCTAACTCCCACGATTGACTTGACATTGGCAAAATTCAACAAGAGAAGCCAGAAACTTAAAAAATAGAAGAGAATTGCGCAATATTTATAATTTTTTATCCACGCCGCCGTCATAATTCTATTATCTATAATGTTGTGCAATTCGGATTTTATCAAATAAAACTGATGCTAAAAATTACGTGATAAGTGATTAAGTTAGAAGTCACGTAAAATCTTATAGATTATGAACTAGATTGTTTTAGTCTTTGCAGTCGCTTCATTTCGTTTTTGCATTTCGTATGTAAAGTCGGAAATTCTGCTTGGTAAGTTTTCCAACTTTTAAAATTTAACGATAAATGATTAAATTTGCAGTAGAGCAAGACGACATAGAGGAACAGAACTATATATTTGGTGTTACAAGTAATCTGCACACGCGGCGTGTGCGTTTTTCCGTCCAACATTTTTAAAATGTGTATTTCGACTCATCCGTAGAACAAAGATCTATGTGCAAGAATACTTGTTCTCAGGACATAGTACCTACATTTCGTTCGACCTTCTTCGCTGTGAATGTCAGATCGACCGTTGTTCGATTTTATATTTTCGAAATGAAATAAGATATATAAATTGTCAAAAACCCTTTACATTGGTGTTAGTTTGAATAACGAAATTATTCTCGTAACGTGCTTAGTCTCTTTTCGCTATATTTAAACAATAGATGCGAAATAAACGTTGTTAACTTTAATGACGCGTAATTCGTTACAATTTTTTAACGTCATATTTTTAGTTATTTTGTGATTATATTCTTACTATTTCCACCACGCCTTTGAAAATACTTATTTCAGTATAATTTCAAACATAGCCTGATTTTTAAAGTAAGTTTTTAAATAAGTTATTCCGAAAACTTAAACGTATGTCATGTTGGGACAAGAAGAATAGTGGTGTTTTGTACTATTTGTGGCTTATATAAGTATCTACTATTTAAATTAATTAAATGAAATATTTTAGTAACTGCACCTCACGCAACAGTTAATTAGAAATCTAATTAGATTTAATTTTCAAGTCTTCGTCTTTACATAAACATATAACAAGGGGACACTTTTCTCATGGTATTGGAGATTCACCTACTCGTTTCCGGGCTCACCTCGCTAGAAAGGAGAGAAGCTATTCCTACCTTCATACCTTAATGAGAGGCGCGCGCGGGTGCTCGCGACACCAGCTCTAGCCACATGCAGACGACAAACGTGTATCCCCACGTTCGTCGTCGTGGCGCCCTATGGGGGAAGGTGGCGCCCGAAGTCATGCCGCCATCTCCTTGTCCTCCGGCGCTGGATGTCGACAGTGGCCGCAGACTCCCTGTATCTCTCCGTCGCCTCCTTCTGCGATAGAACGGTTTCACAGAAGGTGAGGACCGCTTTCCAGGACCTCTCGCTGTCGACCATGGCGCGAACCACAGTCGGCAGACAGAGATCCCACAACTACGCCAAGTGACTGGCGCTCCTCCGCCCAGGCCGGGCAAATCTCCAGCGTATTTGCGCAGAACCTACGAACCTATGTAAGAGGCCGTTAACTGTTTCAAGTTGGCCCTTACTGAAGATGTGAGTTGCCGTACTAGGGTCTTTTGGCACGTAAAACGTTCGGTTTATGTACACAATTGTGGACCAGCTTCCTTATGTGACTGCAGAGATAACTTACGAAGTTGTCCTCTTCTGGGGGTAATTACGATGTGTCCAGACAAACGTATTTAATTCTGGTGCCAAAACCTAAAAATCTTTCGCAGTCGCAGTAAAGTAATTATAAGAACTCGTGATAATCTAACCTTTCTTATTTCAGTGCGAAGCCGTTTTGCAGCAGTTCGCGAAGTATAACGTCTGTCTCCTGTCACGTGATATAGATTACTTGTCTAAAGTCAATATGGTAAGTTCCTATACAGAGTTATTTGTAAAATATTAACAAAGTCGCAGGACTGTATTATTAAACAACAACAATTCTTTTCCATGACTTAATTATTCGTCAGAGTTTGCTTTCGTACAAAAATAAAAATATTTAAATAGATCGCTCTAAACAGTCATTACTCTGTGCGATACCATACAAAAGCAGGAGGTGGTTCGTCGGCGTCGGGGAGGATGCTTGCTATTTAAACTGATAACTTTACTACTAAATACAGATCGCTTAGTAACAGTAAACCTTCTTGTGAAAGTTTACTGTTACTAAGTTCGTCCAGGGAAGAACTGTACTGCCACCTTACCTTCTGCCGCCAAGTAGTAATGTGAGCTGCGTTCCGTTTTGGAAGGGTAAGGGTGCTGGTGAAATTACAGGCACATGGGACTTGTCTCAGGGTGACGGGCGCAGTGATCTGCTCCCCTCAGATCTGTGCGATTTAAACCTCTTACGTGGCACTGCTACTGTTATGGATAGGCGTGTCGCTTACCACCAGTCAGCATGACTTGTTTGTCCTGTCACTTGATTTTATATAAATAAGATTTAAGAACTGACCATTGTGTCATCATCAGGTAACCGTAGATCTTTGATTCCACTGATGAAATGGTATGAATCCTTCACATGTGTGGAAGTGTTCCCTTTCAATGGTTACAGTACCTTTGCCATGTGTTGAGCCAGTTTGTAGGTTGGTGTGTCAATCTGGCTAACTATGGGACGGAGTGGGGTGTCAGCCTTATGTATTTTTGGTGACCCATACAGTTTTAGAGGTTTTACGCAATAGAGTACAAACTCCATTAAAAACTTTTTTTTTTTTTTTTTTTTCATTTTTATAGACAACTCACGCTTGACCAAAAATTGACTAATCCACAATTGTTTTCACAAAAAAAGTCAAGTTACAATTCATTTCATTAATTTAAGTTAGAAGTCCCTAGTGTCAGACCAGGTAATTCGTGTGAATATCTAGCACATTCTAGTTGTTATTATTTGGTTTCATGCGCTGAACGTTGCCCTATTTATAAAGGACATTAGTTAACAAATTCGAACTTTGCATACTAATATAGTTTGTATATTTTCACCCAAAGTACTATTTTACTTCTAGGCCTCCTTAAAAGTCGGTCAAGAGGGCAGCAGTGGCCTGGACGAAGTCTACATTATACACTTCAACGATGTTTATAACATCGAACAGACCACCAGTAAGTATAACACGTTAATTTTGGCAAGATAGCAATAAAATTTATTGCTATCTTGGCAGTAGATTATGTAATAAAATCAATAACATCATAACAATATAATACCAGCCAAGAACCAACTGTAAGCAAGCAGTGGTAAAGTGGCTTAACTCATTGGACTATGACAAGTCTTAAAACCTTTTGAATTTCACGTTATAATCAAAGTATTGCTCATGCAATACTTTGATTATAATACTATAATGTTTGAATACTATAATGCGTTGTATTTATAATTGGGTGGTCATGTGACCACCCAATTATAAATACAACGTGCAGAATCACATTTTCGCAGCTTCTCTTTTACCTAACTACACATACAAATTTATTTAGTTTTACATTATTTCGTTTAGTTATTTTCTTTTATGAAATTGTATCTTAATTCTCATCCTTTCCAAAAAAATGGTAGTAATTTAATTAATTTTGCAATTTATAAAAATAACTACCTAACTGATCGCAATCCATTTTAGTCCATTCTTACTGATGATTTACTGTACTTGCCTAATTTATGTAGAATTAAGTTTAACATGATTGTAATTACACTTCGCATTTTTATGCCTATCTCAGGCATCAGTCTCTCGCAAATAAGGTTTAATATTAAAACTAACTAGTCAGTAAGCATTTATGTAATTCGCTTTGTATGTTGAGAGAACAGTAAATAAATTACTATTATTATACAGGTGATTTAAAAACCATTGACAATTTTAAAGGAGCATACCGTGTAATGGAAATAAAAAATACATGTTCGATTTTTTTTTTTAAATATAAGTTATGACTTCTCAAAGTTTTCCGAAAAATTGTGAACAATATTGACATATAGCAATAAGAACGATGTGGGGCAGTGGGCGGAGTCAGCGCGCTAGTTCATGTATTTGACAGACAACAAAGTATTAAACTAACGCGCGATGCGTTAGGGCAGGTCTGTCGTCGCGTGGCGCGACGCGTCTAGAGAGATCGGCGCCGATCGCTCAATTTTATTTACGATTTTGAGGTAACCACGCATTAATTTAAATAAAATTTTATTTTTTAGATTAAATTTAAAGAAAATAAAGAAATTATTACGTAATATTGATATAAAAAAATGGGGATTTTTTTGTTTTATTTCAGTAATGTGTTCTATTAATGAATCTTATGCACAGGAAAAAAAAATGGTCAATGATTTTTTTATCACCCTGTTTAAATGTCTAAAGTTGTTATCGCAGTATCGATAGTAGCGTAATTTTACACTTTTATCGATGTATAATATTATATATCGAAGAGATTGTCTAGTATGACAAAGGATATCATGTTACCTCCTTCATGGACAGCACTTGAGAGCCGATACCTCAGCTCGTATCAAAACTTTTCCTCTACTAAGGACAAAATGGACCGTCATTTTGTCCTTTTGTCTATTTGTGGTCCAAATGGATGGAAATTAATTTTTTTACAAACAAAATTAAAGCCATTTGAAAAACATATATCGTACACTACACGAGTTCTATTAAGTTCAGTTGATATAAAAAAAATCATTGGTATATATCATGTATATATGGTAATTTTTTTCTTGTTAAATTTCGGGGTAAATCTAAATCGAAAACAGTCTGAGTTGACAACCCTATAAATCATGTCATTTATTTTATATCGAATTAGGCGATGCGCGCTGTAAACCGGCCACGACATGTTTACGGCAGTGGGACAGATATCCGGCTATCCGGCCGAGGAGTTCGTCGGATATCCGGTATGCGCCCAAATCACTATCCGTTTCTTCTCGAGTTAAAACCCAAGAAAAGGTCCGCTAGTGCGTTCCATGGATGAGTTGGCATAACGTCTGGCACGTTGTTGGAAGACGTTGGTTCGAATCCAGCTGGATCGAAGGAATTGTTTCTTAGTGTTCGATCTTTGTATGAATAATTATTACGAATTTGTGGAGTAATTTCACAAAAATAATTGAATATCATGGTGGTCAAATATTGTGACATTCAATAAACTTAAAAATTACAATAATTAAAACGACATCTCTAGTCAGCTGTTGGTAGCTGTAAAGGAACCTGGCTGAATGAAGAAAAGTATTCATAGATTTCCAGTTCTTAGGTTTTCGCGATTGTTACACATAGGAAATGAAACTATTTTTCCGGATTTAAATCGCGTATATTTGTTTTTCAAACAAACCGACGTTTCGGGCCCTTTACAGGTCCCATGGTCGTGGTTGACTGTGTCAGTCAGAAAAATAGTTTCATTTCCTATATTCATAGATTTCTCACAGGTGGCACTACGGCAAAAAAAGTCGGTAAAAACCAAAAACAATGAAGATCTGCAACAAGCACATACAAAAATTCGTAATGTCCGTGAGCTCATTCTGTGGCTTAGTGGGCATAGTAATAGTAATTCAGCCGTACCGAAGGACTTTTTTCTTATTGTCCGATCTTTGTATGAATAATTATTACAAACTTTACGAAATTACTCATCTATAGTAATTTCACAAAAATAATTGAATATAATGAAACATTAAAGTATACGTATATAAGTATTCCGTAGAAAGCTCGCGCAGTTCCGGGTACTCCCGCAGCAACCGTATCAAAGTTCATTATGCTATTTACAATTTCGTTAAAAAAACTCACTTCCTCCTAAAGAAACCCCATTCTGCAGTAATGTAAACTAAGCCTTAAGTTTACAGGGCCTGTAGCAAGAGTCTAAACTCTTTTTATTCAAGAAAAATGTGACCACTGGATTTGAAATTGCAATATCAATTCTAATTACAGATACGGAACCAGTGGGTGGTGCGCTACGGTTCAGTACTGCCGTCAAGTTCATGCAGCATCTAAATCCGCTGGTTCTCTTCAGTGGGGATGTCTTTTCGCCTAGCACTCGTAAGTTTTACTTTGTTACTCGACTACAAAAGCTTAAAACGCAAGATTGTTATTTTAAACAATCGATGGATACTTGAATCGATCGATCGAAAATCGAAACATGATTGTGCATCCTTAGTAGCGAGAATCCAGAGGATTGCAATGGGTAAACCCGGGCCATCTCTGGCCAAGAACCATCCTGATTAAATTATCCTTGAAATAAAAAACCGCTTCGAAATCAATACATCCGATTGGGTTTTTTGTTATAATATCAAGAGACGGTACGAACAAGTCGTGCGCATGATGGTAAGCTTATGGACAGGTGTGCACCTGTCCATAACAGTTGCAGTGCCACTCAACTCTTTAAATCGCAAAGATCTGAGGCGCACCGCCACTGCACCCAACACCCTGAGACATAAGTTGACAAGTCCCATGTTCCTGTAATTTTACCATCCCCCTTACCCTTCAAAACCGGAACACTGTAATGCTGACATTACTACTTGACGGCATAAATACATAAGGTGGCAGTACTTCCCTGGGCGAATTCTTTCTCAAGGAGCTGCTACTAAACTACTACGTTGCCACAAACAAACACGTTATACAGAAAAAGGCTACAAACCTATTGTTTAAAACATGGTACAACTGTCAAATTGTTATACTGGACAATAATAGATTTTTTTGTGGTGGCAACATATTTTTAGTCGTTCTCTTCCAATTTGGCTGTACTCAATGCTAGTGTCGTTTATGTTAATATTTTTGAAAATTCAGTCCAGTGCTCAATTTTATGCTTGCATTTTTATTTACCTTTCGGGGGTTAAGAAGAACTATATTTATATCGTTATTTACTGAAATATATTATTCTGTTTCTTCAGTGAGTATCTTCACAAAAGGCGAACATATGGTGCCAGTTTTGAATGAGCTAGGAACACGTTGTGCTGTTTTCGGAAATCACGAATTTGGTACGTAACAATAGAATATACTCTGGTACGGCTTGCTAGAAGACGTTGGTTCGAATCCAGGCGAATCGAAGGAATTTTTCTTAGTGTTCGATTTGATTTCACAGAATCATTGAATATCATGGAAGTTGTACATCGTGATATTCAATGAACTTAATATTACTGTTGTATGTATCATTACAAGTGTATATGAAGGTACCTTTATATACATTACATCACATTATCTATTTTCATAAACAAAAAACTCCTATATTGTTTCTCAATGAATACGAATTCCACTCCTGCCTAAAATAATGTATTAAATTGTATTTCAGATTTTGGTCTAGACGTCCTATCCGGCCTAGTAGCACAGTGCAACTTCCCATGGCTCATGTCCAATGTCATAGACAATGAAACTGGTCGGACACTGGGCGACGGAAAATTAACACACACTGTTATGTGCAATGGACATAAAATTGGACTTATAGGACTGGTCGAACAGGTATTGTATTTAATTCATAAATTGTTCCTAGATAATACACAGGTGGTTGTATAGAAGTTTACAGTAAGAAATTAAATAATTATTAATACAAAGATCGAAAACAAAGACAAATTTATTCCATCAGAGTTCCTCAAACATCAAATTTGAGGAGCAGAGACTGACAGACCTGGACGCGAAGCATGATGCTCTCGAGGCTAAGACACCTGCAGTCATCTTCTATTGCTTTATTGACGGTGTCCTTACTTGTCGCCACTGCTGTTTGGGAACACTTACCAATAAGATTGGCTACTGTAGCCATCTAAGGGTACATGAAAGAGTAAACGACCGTAACTAATTGTAAACAATAACAGTCGCTGTAGCCGAAACCGGCTAGGACACACACACACACGCGCACGCACGCACGCACGCACGCACGCACGCACGCACGTACGCACGTACGCACGCACGCACTCAATCACGCACGCACTCACTCACTCACGCACGCACGCACTCACTCACTCACGCACTCACTCACTCACGCACGCACGCACGCACTCACTCACTCACTCACTCACTCACTCACTCACTCACTCACTCACTCACGCACGCACTCACACACGCGCGCACACACACACACACACAGACACACACACATACGCGCGCGCATGCGTGTCTTATGCTCAGTAATATCGGCTACCACGCCATTTTGTTTATTTTACGAACTATTGCTATTGGTAATAATTTGTGTCTAATATTTCCTATTCTTTCTGTTCTTGCGTAAACTCTGTGTTGTTTCCGTGAACGAATCGGCCATTCTTACATTCGGTGTTCTCGGCCCAATTACCGCTTAATATACCCAATAACATTCAAATACGAATAACTTTAAGCTTTTACTATCAATATACGAGTATCTAAATAGCATTACAATGGACAAAGTAGTTTTCGAGTTATTATGACACGAATATTTTATGGAACGAATATTTTATGGAAACGGTAATTAGATTTAATTATCGTAGCGTGGATAGGGTAATTAGAAAGTTCAAACATTTTTAAGAACTACCTACACAGCTGAATTATTATTTGTGTATTTTGCTACATTTGGTTTATTTCTACGATACAAGTGCCAATCAAGATTTTTTTAAATTAATTTAAAGTAGGTGTCGTAATTGGTTAGTGGTAATGTTTAAAAATTACTTCAATTTTTTCTTATGATTAATCACAGCTGTTACGAGAACAGTGTAATAATTTACATTTTCATTATTTCTGCCAATAAAAAACCTTAATAGTAAAAAAAAAATTATGTCGGTGTGATTCGTTACAAAAAGTGAAGAAAGTTTTTATATTTTCTTAAAAATCTTCGAACTTTCTAATTACCGTATCCATGGCTATGGTAACTAGATATAATGACCGTTTCCATAAAGTATTTGTTTCTTAATAACTCAAAAACTACTTTGTATATTATAATGCCATTTAGACATTGATAGTTAAGCTTAAAGTTGTTCATATTTCAATGTTATTGTGTGTATTAAGCTAGAAAAGACATGGCTAAGGTAATTAGGCTGAGGACACAGTAATGGCAACGGTAATTAGGCTGAGAACACCAGTAAGGCCGGAATAAACTGTGAATAGTATTTTGTGTGACTATTATTCCGCAGAACCACTGCTAACGATACTGTACTGGGCATCATAAAAAAGATCATCATGCTATGATTACAAACTTGACTTCCTTTCCGTTCCGCGACGATGTAACTTCAATCTAACAGTACCAACGGTTTACATTTCTCAACTCCCTGGTATTGGTTTAATAAAATTGCATCGTTTTAAATTTCAGGAATGGTTAGAAACAATAGCAACGATAAATCCGAAGGAACTTACCTTCATAGATTTCTTGCAAGTGGGATCCAAACTTGCGTCGCAGTTAAAGCAAGAGGTAAATATTTCAAAGAAAATAACTAGGTGACAATACGCGAAAATTACCAAAATGGAAGTGTGTTGGTTAGGATGACAAGGAGGGCAGAGCTGCTTACTATAATAATAAAAATATACTTTAGTAAGGTACTTTAAAAATATTTTTTTTAATAAAATTCAATAATAGCAGAATACTTTAATAATAAAAATTGCCACCGAAATTAAGTATAAAAAACTAACCTGAACGTTACCCAAGTTTATTTGTTTGAAAGAAAGACATCTTTTAAACTTAGGATCGTATTCTAGAACTCTACTCAATGCTGAAGTCAGGATTTGAGTATGGTTTAAAGCACTGGAAATCATACTCAAGTCCCTGCCATTAGGGTCGTATTTCCAGTGCTTGTGTATAGGTGTTTCGAAATTGATAATCAAAAAATATGAAATTTCTTCAGATTCCTGTATACATATTCATGTATATGATTATACATTATTCCGATATAATTTTTACATTAAAGAGATACGACGCCGGTGTTTCAGGGATGCGAATACGTTATAGCGTTGACTCACATGCGGACGCCGAATGACATCAAACTGGCGGAGGGCGACACCGAGATCGACCTCATACTGGGCGGACATGACCACGTCTATGAAGTTACTAAGGTAAGAAATATAAAATATATTAAAATTTTTAAAAGCGATGCCTCTGCAATAGGTCTCGCTTTTAAGAAAGAACTATATGCTTTATGGCCCTCTCCTAACTAACTGCCGTATCCAACACTTTTTGTTACAACTATGGACCAGTAACTCAACAGGACTGCTTATCGCGATACAAGATAGCGCAGCCAGTCATTTAGTACCTGTTGGTACACCAGATGTCGCGACGAGTACCAAATAGCTATTTTTGTAACTAATTTGTTTAACATTGACAAGCTGCAATTTATCAAAGCTACTCTTATTTCTAGTGATAACAAACAAATCGACTAGATGACGCTTATGCACAGATTTTTATGGATTGTGCCGGCTATTCCTTTATTTTGTTTTTTTTTTAAAGAAAAGCGTCGATGACCTTGAGTGATCGATGTTTTAAGCCACGCCTACTATATTACAATTATGAAATGAATTAGCTAGCTAGGCGCAATGCGGGCGACATAGGTCCATCCAGCAACGCGTCTTAGCTATCACTGCCGGGTTTTATTTCCAAAATTAGCTTCAAAACCGAAAAAATAAACCAACCACGGTTTTTATTATTGGATAACCCCTTATTCTTCAAAATTTTATCAATTTTACTTGGTATATTATAGATATATTTGCGTTGAATAAGAGGTAACTTTTGTTGTTTTTTTTTTCACTGCCGCAAGTTGAACAGATTTTGCTAAAAACGCTTTAAAGTGAAGCGTAATTGACGGTATTCAGCGTCTTAATATTAAATGATGGGACGAACAAGTGGTACACGTGGTGGTAAGCTACACGGCTGGCCATTACAGTTGCAATGCCACTCAGAGCTTTAAATCGCAAAGATCTGAAGGGCACTGCCACTGCGCCTGGTACCCTGAGACATAAGTTGACAAGTCCCATGTGACTATAATTTCAACACCACCCTTACCCTTCAAAAACCGGAACACAGTAATGCTAACGTTACTGCTTGGCGGCAGAAATAGGTTAGGTGGGGTTACTGCTACTGCTTTTGTTTAGAATTAGCGCCATCTACCCATATTTGGAGGTGTTAATTTATATATTAGTTTAACACACAATGCCACCTAGTGACACGCATATTTGTCAAAATTCGGAAAATAATTTTAACATACGATCAGTATTTCAATAATATTACAAGGAAAAGAAATATGACTTCTTATATTTCGTATTATTATTAATTGATTGTTCGATATCACTCTTTATGTGGAGGCAGGCTGGTAGTGGAGAAACAACAATAAAATGGCACTAAATAAACGAAGACACATTTATTCTGCCATCTTGCAATGTAAGTTACAACGAGTGAAAAGTACAATGGCGCACACGCGGGAAAATTGACGTTTCGTTTTATTTGGTATTGCTCACAGATTTATATGCTTCATAAACTGGATCGCTCACTTCGATATACCAATATTACAAATTTACACCTTATTTGGTTATGTTTAAAAGTCAAAAACCGAGTCACGTGAGATAGCTCGAAGTAGTGATCTGTCCTTGTCTAACAAGTTGCCAACGCCAAATAAAATATTCTTGAGTAATGTGTAGTCTATTAACTTTTTTAATTTTGGATGTATACATTTGCTTCCACGTAATATGCTTTTACTGTAATAATACAAAAAAAAATATATTAACAATGACACCTATTATGAAGTAGCAAATCAAGTAAGTATAATAATTTGTATTATGAAATAATATTAGTAGTTTTGATCATCCATAAGCGGCAACATTTTCTGTAAAAATTAAAAAGTTGAAAACAATATGGCTGGCTGAAAGATGAATGAACACCTTGTTAGAAAGAGACGCATTACTACTTTGAAGCGTCTCACTAGGCTCGTTTTATTAACTTAGTGCGCGGTCCAGTTTTATATACAAGTTTGTGGTATTGCTTAAATAGCCAACTTAATAATAATTATTGTTGGAATTGCCAAGATTGATATCTACGGTCATTTACATGATATAAAATACTTCCAGGCTATTCATCAGCGCCATCTAGACATTGACCTTTTTCAGAGCTACGGTTTGTAGTATGGAGATTAGCAGTCATGTTGAGTACTCTTTACTTAGTTATAACCATGGACTAATACAATGGTTGTAACTAAGTAAAGAAGTACGATCTTAGGATTAGTTTATATAACGAACGACTAAGCAAAAATGGCGAGCTAAGTAAATTTTTTGTATTTTCAAATCGAACTTTGCCTAAGTTTAAGCAAGAAATTAAACTCGCTGGTTTATCTTGTCAGATATTAGTGTAATCTGTCATTTTTAAAGACTGAGTAAAATGACAATTGTAGGGTAGCCAGTTTTCATAAAAGATAGGTTGGCGACATCCCGAGTATTTTGTGACCCAGTGTTTTTGACGACGTGCATTAAGGAGACCTAGCAATACTTGTGATTCATTATCAAAGCATCAAAAAAGCTAATTGAGTACAGCCTGTAAAAGCTGGGGTTATAAAGTTGATATAGGTTATGTTTCTAACATTGTCCTGTATGTCGCTTCAGATGTTTGTTGGTAGTAGCAGAAAACAATAAGTTTTCAGTTTATTCCCAAAAATAATAAAGAACTTCACGAGTATACCCAAATCTGCCCAACTCAGCCACGTTTAATATAACTTATCATGTTAATAAAAATTAAATCGGCCCAAATGGCAAAAATCTGCCACATATGGTCCCACTGTTCTCAATATCAATGTGACATTGGCAAGAGGTCTCTTGTCAAAACGTTCCTTTGCTACTCTCATTTAATATTGCCTAAATATTTTTGTCACATTGTGTTTTATGTTTTGCTTTATGTAATTTCATTACTGTTTAATTAATAATTTCGTAGTTTTGTGTGTACTATAAAATAACCAATACTTCAGGTAGGTAAACATTCTATCATGCTTACAATGATACGTACGTACAAGGACATTATCTAATATATAGTAGAACTGAATCAATTGCATTGTGGTGTTCTTGCATCTATTCTAAAATACAATGTTTTACAATTTTCTTATTCCCGACTTCTAAAAATATACAAAAATATAATGATAACTAGGCATAAACTAAAACGCAAAATTATACTAGCAAAGTCCATGATCGGCTCTTCGTCGTTATTGGGGCATCTTTCGCCATCCTTTTTTAAATAGTCGTGTAGTTGTTGACAATTTTATCGATACATTCTGAAAGAAGGTAAAATTTGTGTCAAAATTTGGTACCATATAAAAGAAAATTTAAAAAAATTTAGGAAACTGTTAGTGAAGGCAACACAACCGCAACAGATTAACTAACCTTTAATATTAGACGTGACAGGAATATTTATCATCAGTTGATGTACCATGAATTATAACATGAATTTGGTGGTTTCAATAAAACAATACTATTGACGACAAACTAGCAGTCTCCAAAGCATTCGTATTTTACACAGGTGAACAACAAATACATAATCAAAAGTGGAACAGACTTCCGTCAATTCTCGAAAATCTGCATAAGCTTTACCGGTGACAGTAAGCAGGTAGACATCGCCGATATTCCTGTCACCAGCGATTTCCCTGAAGACGAGGTCTTGAAGGCTAAAGTGGAGAAATATTCAGGTTGGGCTTCTGTGAAATATTTTCAGTCTCTTGTGTGATATTGATATAGCCATCGGCATTCGTATAAAAATTTGCAGTGCTGTCTATGATTGTTCATAGTCAACAACTATATATAGTCTATGGTTAATAAATAAAGAATATTTCTTCAATGTTCATAGTGTTCCACTATACCTCTTTAGACTTTTTAGGGTTTCTTTAAACATAAAGCTGTTACGCATTCGCGCATTCTGCATATAGTATATCGTGCGCGCGTGCTTTTAGTATGAACGGAATACTGCGTAGTGTCACCAAATGTTGTTCGTACTCAAAGGTCTGTTCAGATTTACGCATTATTACCGTGCACCGTATTTCCACTGTTCTCACAGCGAAATCCATTATTCATTATCATTTATTATTGTTATTATTATGTCAACTAATTGTCACTAACTGACTTACGGGGTGTGCGCAGGGATAAATTTGCCACTGCTCTTGCATCGTGCGCCAAAATTTATTCACAAAGCTAGCGAAATGATACCTAGGCGATATAGCGCGGTATTTCGGCTTCGCTCTAGCCTTGAAACTTCATACAAATAACCTTTACCAACTTTCAAAGACAACCTGTAAAAAGATACTTAACCGACTGGATGAAGATACTAAATTATGACGACACTGAGCAATTACTATCTATACTCAAATAACAGTACATTCCTCTTAACTGTTCTCAACTTGTAGTACTTTCGCCTAAACATTAATAGCAGTAGAGCTCCTTGTGAAAGTGTTTATCCAGGGAAGTACTGCCACATCAAGGCTCGTGCAACGTGCCGGCGATATATCGCGACTGCGGTCGCGTCGGCTCGCAACGACTTCTAACAATGAAATACACTGCAGCATGAGGGCGACTAGCGACGTAACATTACCGGCGACCGAGCATAGCTTAGTGAATTTTCGAATAATTGTCGTACCTTCAGGGAAAATGGATCTATATCCAGACTATTATTAGAACTTTTTTGTTGGAATATTCCGTTTTACGGGTCCGTGTCATAGGAAGGATAAGAAGAAGGAGATTTAATTTTCATCCAATTAATGTTCTGCGGCGATTACGAACGCATCAAATAACTATCTGGGTCCATTATTATAATTTTAATTACTTATGTAATGATCGAATAATAATATGAACATTAATTGATCAAATCTTGCGATGACTGATCGCTGCAAGTCTCACGACCAATCGCGGACACGCTGCGCTAAGCCATTTAGTTCTACATGTTTAAACAAGTCGCAGCGGGTCAGTGCGACCGCAGTCGCTAAAAATCGCCGGCACGCTGCAAGAGCCCTTTTTCTGCCGCCAAGCAGTAATGTCAGCATTACTGTGTTCCGATTTTGAAGGGTAAGGGTGCTGCTGAAATTACAGACACATGGGACTTTTCAACTTATGTCTCGGGGTGATGGGCGCAGAGGTAGTGCACCTCAGATCTTTGCGATTTAAAGCTATGAGTGGCACTGCAACTGTTATGGACAGGCGCGTCGTTTACCATCAGGCGCACGACTTTTTTATCCCATCATTTAGTATCATAAAAAAAATCATACTTACTGTGCACCAAACCAGTAGCACACTCAGCTTATAAACCCTCATTCATCCTCACTCTTTACATATCGTCAGGTTATTAGATTGAAGTCTTAGAGGTTCTAATTAGAGATGAAACGGATAACTAACTATCGGTAAATATCCGGTATCCGGCCTAATTTTACTATCCGGCCGGATAAAACTGACAAAAAATCACAATTAATACGCTTAATAAATTGATTTATTGATTAAAGAGGATAGTAATAGGATAAATAAATAGCAACTACACGATCGTTGACAATCTGTTCATTATCATCTGTAAATTTAGTGCTCAAATTTCAATAAAGGCAAATTATGGTGAATGAAGACCAATACTTCTGCATTAACTCTGGACTGTATTCGCACTTTCCATCAGGCGCGGTGCAGTCATTTTGCCGAGTCACAATAAAAAAAAATTTAAGTGGTAAAGTCGGTTCCATTTCATTTCATGAACGAGACCAGCATCAGGGAGGACAGCTTTTCGCTAAAAACGCTTGCAAACTTTGTTAAACTTAGGTACTGCTGATTTTACCAGACCACCAAATTAAAGAATCGCGATCACGATCAATTCGAACTGTCTTCACATAATAATCGATTTAATATAATTATGTTTTCGTATGAACAATATGTACCGATAATAATGAAACGAGTAAGTAGATTTATAAATTTTTTTTCGGTAAAACTGGTATTAACTTCTACAATAATTAGATCACAAACAAAAAATAATGAAATCAAATTAAAACAAAACTTGATTAATGAAACAAAGACCATTTTAACGAAAACCAAGTGACCACAACAACTCAAATCGTCAATGTGAAAGTGCAATCAATCACGGCGTTGCGCGCTGCAAACCGGTCGCGACATGTTTGCGACAGTGGGTCCGATATCCGGCGGCCGGATATCCGGCCTAGTTGCTCTTCGGATATCCGGTATCCGGCCAAATTATTATCCGTTTCGTCCCTAGTTCTAATTTCTTAGTTTAGTACACTACTGGTTTTGAAATAAATTAGGAATATTTACTTTAATTAATTTCTCTCTTATGTCACAACCACAGCGCCACAACCATGTCGCTCATCTGCAAAGTGGAAACCAGGTGACCTGTAATACCGGTTTTTGTATGTTCATCTCGGGCACCAGTCTCTAACGAAACAGCATGACCAATCCTGTTTTAACCTATAAGTTTCTCTACTCTTAAGCCTGTTTGTGAAGAGAAAATAAAACAACATTTCATTTCATTTCACCCTACAGGATACCACGGTATCGCTTATATCTGAACAGGCCTTCGAGCGGATATACACGGCGACTTACGACGAAGCGGCGATGCAAACGCGCGATTGCATCGCTACACTTGTGCTTTATAAGCGATTGCATCGATATAATCGCCTATAAGTCGCAAGTGTAGCGATTCATTCGCGCGTTTACATCGCTTTTAAAAGTCACCGTGTGTAGCCACTCTTAAGTGGACAAATACAACGAGGAGTATTTTGAGGTCTTAAACATATTTTTTTTAAGAAAATAAAATATTTATTTTCCAGCAATGATAGAAGGCAAAATGGATGAAGTGCTAGGCAAGTTCAGCGTGCCGCTCGAAGGCAGGGTATCCTTCATACGACGAGAAGAATGCAACCTCGGTAATTGGGTCTGTGATGTTCTACTCGCAGCTACTGGGGCTGATTTGGCTATATTGCACTCCGGCATTTTTCGATCTAATCAGGTCAGACTTTTAATTGACTATTACCAAAGATTAATTGTATTAATAAAATTAATAATTACATTTTGATCTTTCAAATACAAACTAACATAACATAAAAAGAACACCCTATTTATCATAATTTATTAACTAGTTTTATTGACACTGTCACATCCACATACAAACAAAAAATTGTTCTCTCATTCGCCCGCGCATCGTCCTCATCACATCACACACACTATTAACACGATCAAGCCAGTTACACACACAAAACCATATACAAGCGCAGCCAGACTACCGCCGACGAATTTAGCAATGTACGGGAAAACGGCATAGTTTATATTACATTGCATTAAATCATGTTTAGATGATTTTTATGTGTAATAAATAAATGAAAAAAAGTTACATTATTCTTTATTACGAGAAACCAAAATAAACCTTGTCGTTTATTTCTTGCAGGACTATGTAAAAATCTCGAATTTATCTTCGTTCAGCTATTGACCGCTAGATGGCAGCACAATGATTGAAATTTTAATATAAAATTAAAATGTAATTTGCAATAATAGGTATTAAACTTTTTTTTTATATTAACAGTCCAGAATTTCGACTGTTGACAACTTTACAAGATGAAGAGAAAATCATTTATATAGCATGTTGTTTATTAAATAAAAATACGTAGTGTACATATATACATATGTAATAAAATTATTTAAAACTACGTATTTTATTTAATAAACCAGTTGCTATATAAATGACGCAAACAATTTCTTTCTTCATCCTATAAAGTTGTCAAAATTGAGATAGTACCGATTGCCAGTTCACAGTTGGATTGTTACTTCTTTTTAAATTTGAAAGTACGACCAATCAAGCCAAAGTCAAATAATCATTTATTCCATAGGTAAAATGTTTACACTTGAAAAGGTCGTTTTTTAAGCTACTACTTGTTCACTATGCCAACTTCCCTGAGAAGAATGAGCAAGAAATTCTAGGGATTGCACTTTTCAAATGAACTGAAATGCTATAGAATACACTTTGAATCATATTTGTGTGGAATCTAGACTAATGTTGTCTTTCCATACATTTGTATTCTAACACATAGTCTACAATTTTGTAATATGACTTTTTAATTAAAATACTTTTAATGTATAAATATAAATATTAAAAATAAATTTAATGTAAGTTTTGAACTTAGAGAATGGTAATCTTAGTATACCCGGGAATCTTATTGTAAAAACGTATACAGTTCCCCATAAAAGAACCGTTTACTTTAGTCAAACGGAATCGTGGCACCGTGAGTGTGGACTTAGTTCTAGGGTTATTACGGATATTTTCTTTCAAATCATTATCAAAATTTCACAGTGTTTTTAAGTTATGAATGTGTGAATTTTGTGCGGTTCTGATTGCAATCGAGTTTTAAGTCACTTCCATTTTTTTTCTGCGGTATATTACAATATCATATCCCGTTCTAATCATAAAAGTTGTACCTGCCATCCTGCAGATCATTGTTAGTGTTATAATGTATTAATTACTATACATTCAGGCGTTACTTTGCGGAAGTTCATGTTAATAAAAATGGAACTAAATTAATTTGCTACGCCGCGAAACCAGTCAAGGTTATATCGTGCAAAATAGCTGCGCTTGTGTTGAATATTTTTTCATGCAGTTAATTATCCCACCCTCCCTCCGCATAAAATTAATAAAATAAATAACACAAGCGCAACTACAGTCACAAACCACCACCAAAAATATACCCGACACGTGTTTCGCCTCTCCACGAGGCATCCTCTTTTGCTGTTGACTGCTTGACCCTCGGCCGAAGAGTGAGCTCGTTCAGAACTGTTGGTGTATTTTGGGGGGTAGCGGGGTATATTCCTACATAAATATATTCAACACAAGCGCAGTTATTTTGCACGATTTAACCTTCAGTGGTTCGCGGAGTAGCAAATTAATTTGCTTCCATTTTTATTAAAAACCTGTTTACTTTTGCAGCTACATCCTGCCGGTGATTTTACTCTCCGCGATCTGACCACAATATTTCCCATGAGAGATACCGTAGTAGTAGTCGAGGCGACTGGTTCCACAATACTTCAAGTTTTAGAGAATGCCGTTAGCAAATATCCGAGCCTGGAAGGACGGTTTCCACAAGTAAGTCTTCAGTATCTTATCTGTTTTAAAATTATGTAGGTAAGATGCAAAGGACCGTAAGTCCTTTACAGTAATAGATAGAGTTAAAAAGCTTTACAATGCTAAAAATCACGCAATAAAAGACATTAAGTCCTATCGTCATTTGTTTTTTATTGAACATGTAGTTTCACGAACGCGCGTATAAATAAGCTCTGAGATTGATTTTAAATGCCTAATTAAGACCTTGTGGCGAATCACATTTAAAATTCACATGTAAAACTTAGTATTTGGAACTCACGGTTCTTTACCTCTCACCTACAGAATTATCCTAACTGATATGCATGTACAGGGTGGAAAAAACAAATCAAACTTCATTGCTCACGCTTCATTTCTTTTATTTTTCTTAATATGAATAACCACATTCACAGAATTTTTTAAATGTTTGCCTGAATCGGGAATCGAATCAACTAACAATGCAAAAAGAGATAATTACTCTCACTATTTTTTGAAGTCGGTTAAAAATTTGAAACCATGAGCCTCGACGTTAATTTCTAGATTGTAATTACTAAACGAGCTGTGGTATACTAATGGGAGAATGATACTTTTGTATTGTGGCAACACTTCACTTTGGATTTCGTTTGCTTTAAATGTTATTAATAAATTTTAAATATTTCATCTTGATAAAATGGCATGCTGTGATGGTCTGTACGTGTAGAAGCATTTAGATTTTAAACTTCAATGTTTCGACTCATCTATAGAACAAAGACCTATGTGCAAGACTACCTTGTTCTCAGGACATAGTACATTTCGTTCGTTCTTCTTCGCTGTGAATGTCAGACCGACCTTTGTTCGATGTTATATTTTCGAAACGAAAATAGATATATAAATCGTCAAAACGCCTTTACATAGGCCTTAGTTTCAATAACGAAATTATTCTCGTAACTTACTTATTCTCTTCGCTATATACTCACATCCGACTCTGTTCTTCGGATGAGTCGGTTTCATTATTTAAAATGTAAAATGTGTGTTTTCTTTTATCATACCTTTTTTTCTTAAATTTCTGTCAACATTAAGTCTCGGGTTGACGGGTGCAGTGGCAATACAATAAAGCTTTGCGACTGTTTAGGACAGGGGTGTCACTTAGTATCATAAAAAATCTACAAAGCTCTAAATTTATACTGGTTTACTTAAGATTTCCATTTTTCACCTTGCAATGACTTAAACAACAGTGCAGCTATCGGATCAGCCCAATTTGCATTTGAAAGTCAACCTTTTCTTTATGTAAATACAAACTAAATACATTTTTACAGGTAGCAGGAATATCCTTCGCGTTCGATCCATCAAAACCACCTGGTGAAAAAGTAGCAGAACAAGTAGTGAAGATTGGAGATGAATACTTGCAAAGGGAACAGAAGTACCGGCTGGCGATCAAACAATATTTACACGCGGGAAACGACGGGTTTACTATGCTACCGAAGTGTAAATTGTTGGTAAGTAACGAACATAAAATAAAGGAACGGTTCTAAAACTGTACCTTGAGGAACACCATCCATTATCCATCCATCAACATTCTATAAAGTCAATTTAATAGCAGTAGACCTTCTTGTGAAATAGTTCGTCCAGGGAAGGGAAGCAGTAATGTAAGCATTACTGCGTTCCGTATTTGAAGGGTAAGGGCGCTGGTGAAATCACAAGCACATGGGACTTATCAACTTTTGTCTCAGGCACAGTGGCAGAGCCCATCAGATTTTTGCAATTTAAAACTCTTGAATGGCACTGCGACTGTTATGGACAGGTGTGTAGCTTCCCACCAGGCACACGACTTGTTCATCCCGTCACTGATATGATATAAAAAAAATCTATAAGTTAAAGGTAAAGGAACTAACTAAACCTAAGTCCATATTTTGGAATTTAGATTTTTATTACAAACATTGCTTTAGAATGGTAAAATGACGCAATGGCAAAGGTATTTAAGTCCTATAGTCGTTTGTTTTTTTTTAACATATTTTTTTGACCTTAAGGGCTCGTTCCCATTGTGATCACGACAGATAGTCGTGCAGTTTAAAATGTTGTGGCTCGTATATGTAATTGAAATTGTTCACTTATAGTAGAACTCGATTAACTGTCGTTCACGACTTTTTTGACGTTACGACAACAGTCTCGTGGTAATGGGAAGAGCTAGAACGAAAGTCGTCGAACGATAAACAAAACGTTACAGCACGGGAACACACCCTAAGATTGATTTTAAATGACTAAATAAAGCCAAGCTTGTCTTATAAAAAATACTTACCTTTATTGGCGTTCCCTGTAATCGAATTGTGATATGCTGATGCAGGTGGAAGAAGACATGTGCCCGGAAGTGGGCACCGCGATCCAGAACCACTTCGCGGCGATCAACGTGCGCACGGGCAAGTCGCGCCACTCCAAGCACCGGCAGTCACTCGTCACCCTCAGCAGGAGGTATGCGGCATTCGCTCTGCCTGCGCGAACTAACTTGGGCTCTCCCTAGGTGGCACTAGGGACTTTTTACATTGATTCGTGTAATAGAAGAAATATTTTCTCGGAAACAAATTGATTTGTCAGCTTTTAATTTCTTGGCTCTCTTATCAAACGAACCAAGACAAACAAAAAAGAGCTTTAAGTCAAATAAAGTACGTTGTAGTTACTCTCGGCAGGAGGTATAAGAAGACATTTGCTGCGTTGGCGCGAAATACGTTGGGGTCTCCCTAGGTAGCACTAGGGACTTTTTACATTGATTCGTTTAGTAGCAGTTTCTTGCAAGGATCATTTCATTGTATCGGAAAAAAAAATGAGATAATAGAAGTTAGTAAAATTTAACAAATTGTTTTTTCTTAGTCATGACGACCTCGTCGCGCATATTTTTCGGACAACTTTGAGGTGTCTTATCTTACTGGTTTAACATTTGAAGAAAAAAAACGAAATATTTTTTAGTTTTAATTTTTCAGTCTTTCGAGTAGTTTAAAAAAATATAAAAATAAAAATCATTTATTGCAGACAAAATATACTCCATTTTGTTAGTACACTTACAAGCTATCTGTTCTACTGTTAGTACAAAAATTACAGAATAAAATAAAATGAATCAATGAATGAATGAAATGATTACATGACACATGATACCTGATAAGGACGTGAAGTTCTGTGAACCTAACAAGCCGATAGGAGTCCCACCTGTCCCCTATCATTATAAGATAGATAGTCCTTTTAAAATAAATAGTGTTTTGTGTGTCCATGGCACCCGCGACACAGGGTTTCCCTAGTGCGGGGCTATGTTGAGTGTGTGCGTTATGTGTGCGTTTTTATCACCCTATTATGTATGCATACATAATTTTCAATAAACTTTTTGTACACAGGATAACCCGCCGAGCGTCGTTAGATGATTTAGAACAACAGTCTTGCGAGCTCGCACCTAAGGTCGAGAATCGCATTATAATCCTTGACAGTCCAGAGGTAGCGTATACAAAAATTAAAAAGTAACGTTCAAAAACTCATTCGAATATTTTTCGACTTCCTTTCAATCCTACATCCGCTGTATCATCAATTTGTATGAAGGCAAAAAAAATTAGATTGGATTTTCATAAGCGATAGTTACAAAAGTTATTTGCTTTCATGGGGTTATTTTAAATTACCCTGTGCATATAAGTAAAAGCTTTATTATTATGCACATACCACATTATTTAACCTATCAGAAGTCGGAAATTACATTCGCCCGAAGTAACGTTTGCTCTATGTGTCACAATCCCGAAAACCGATTTATAACGAAACCGTTAATATTTCAGGGTAATTTGGATATTTTTCGCAAAGGAAAGATTAAAAGTTAGGTTTGTGTCACGGAAGAATAAACAATGGACGTGGCTTAATCCTCGATTAAGATTTATAATTTGAAACACTGAAATCTTGGTAATGATTGGTCGTAGTGTTTAAAAAGAAGTAACAATTTAAACTTTATCCTTTTGGCATATCGTTGAAAGTTCAATAAATATTATTGCAAGTTACGAGGTTTTGATTTTATATTAAAATTTCAATCAACGTGCTGACATCTAGCTGTCAATAGCTGAATAACGGCGAATACAAGATCTTTACTTAGTTCTCCAAAAAAGAAAGAACCATGTTGCAGCGGTTTACTTTTGTTTATTGAAGCTAAAAAAATATTACTATTATTAAAATTAAATTAAATAAGACTTAACGATGACTTGAGACACCACCGTAGATAATATTACAAGTACGACTGTCATTTTCGCACTCCAAAGTAGCAAAGTAAACCATTTTTCAACGTTTTTAAAGATTTTGCGCAAGACATATAACGTATAAAGCGAAAATGGAGTACTATGCTCCAGTATATAGACATATATATGTAATAAACACAAAAATAGGGTAGGTAAGGAGATATTCCGCTCCCTCTGACTCGACTTATATATCTTTACTTCACGCTTAATATCACATTAACTGTTTTTCGCGTCTCCTTTTAAAGTTGAGTTTTTTTACTCGTACCCCTTTTCACTAGAGCCAGATTGTATTGGCTAAGTAGCTTGCCTGAAAATTTTTACAAAATTGTATCGTTCTTCTATCAACTTGCACTGAAGTTTTTGGATCAAAACGATTATTTCAAGACCAAAAGTATTACTTTGTTAGTAACTTCTATTAATTAGTGAATATTTTTCTAACGTAAATTAACAAATTTCTGTTACAGAAACTACAAACATTATTAGCAGAGCAAGCGAGATCGGAATCGGACATGGTCATCAAGGAAGCCGATGACGAAAACTCCGCGTAAAATGACTTTTATATATGAGTTGTGAATTATATAAAATGAATTATGATGACGAACAAAAAAATAAAAACACTACTATTTTCAACAATCTTTGCTTTATACTTTAGAATTGATTATCCAATAAAATGAAGTATCAGTGCACAGAAACGCAGCCAATGAGAAAAAGCTCTATACCCATCATTGACTTACAATTATATGGACGTCGGGTCTGCGCTAAAAAGTGTCCGAACTTATACGGCGTTAAAATCGTATACAGAGCGTCATTCACGCTTTAGTCTTCGTTTGTTCGACTGACAGCGAAGCAAGCAAAATTAGACAGTACTGCGATGACATTACAATTTAAACTCAACGTTTTAGCTTTTTCAAGGCTTTTTCATATTCCTTTACATGTCACTACGTTTAAATAGGTTGACTTGGGACATTTTTTTCGTAGTTTTTGTATTAGACCCGCCGTCCATTTATTTGTAAGTCAATGATATCCATACAATAAAAGTGAATAAGACATGCGTTTCGCATCGGTGATCCAAACGAACACGAAACATGGAAAGTCTTTTTCAGCACACTTGCTCGTAAATAGTATAATTGCATGGTGAGTAACTTGACTATAATGCCCCAGAATAAAACCCTCGGGTCTTTTTTCTTTCCATCGGCGTACTTCCTTATATGTAAGGAAGGTCAGGTTCAATTTCAAGCGAAGGAGGTTATATAGGATTCAGCCACGTACAACTTAAATACTTATTATTAAGAATTTCTTATAATTGATTTTAATTATTTTCTGTATAAAAATTTAGCAAATTTTTTTTCGCAATCCATAATGGCTATACACACTATAAACAAGAAAAACCGAAATGCCAAAAATTTGTAAATTTCTAACAGCACAGCAGCACAACTATTATTATATACTCCCAGACACATAATTCGAACCACCACGCATTTTTGTCGTAAAGGGCTAGAATACAAAATAGTGTTATCATCGAAGAAAAAGTTTTCCCTGGTTTTACAAATCCAAATTCCCAACAAGGAAAACTTATGGAAAAGACGTTTAGTATGCTAGTTTTAAAATTGCATAATAGTTTTTGATCAATCAATCATTTAAGCTTACTGAAAATGCGTGGTGGCCCGAATTGTGTCCGAAAGTGTATTTTTTTAGGAACTGCTAAACTCCTACAATTCCACTGTATTAGCTTGGAATTCATTATCACTCGGTGGGGTTGACCCTTATAGGATGGAAAAGGTTGACCCAATGTTATTATACTGGTTCACCTGTTGTCGATGGCTTCATAGTCAATACATCTGTGTTAAGTTCTCGTTTGCTCCTTAGACTTTGGAAATTAACATGTTATGTTGATATATATACATCAGACGTTATATATATATATATATATATATATATATGATGCATTTCGACCTTAGAGGATGGAAAAAAAATGTTTGCTCCAATAGCTCCAATAAATTTATAGGCACTGCTTTGTAAACCTCATTATTCGAAAACAGTATTTCTAATTCTTATAGTAGAAAATAGAGTGTTATTGTATATATTGTAACTAATTAGTGCTTTCTGCTGTCGTTCGTTAAATAAATTAAATTAATATGTTCGTAATAAGCTCTCAACGCCTTTAATAGTTCTACGTACAACGGAACAACATTTGACAGGCGATCGAATTTGACATCTCAAAACTGACATAACTCAGTCGGTATTCCGTTTATAGGTGTGCAATTCGAATTTTATCAAATTAAATTACTCTCGAAAATATTGTAACTATTTATAATTCTCGCAAAAAAAGATAATAAATATTTTTTTGTTCTTTTCGCCTAGCCAGCTGTAATTTCGTCGGTGGTGTCGGCAATTCTGCTAGGTAAGTTTTCCACTTTATTAGGCTTTTAATTTTAACGATAAATCTCTGAAACTGCAGTAGAGCAAGACGATAGAAAGGAACAGACGATGTATTTAGTGTCACAAGTAATTTGTAAACAACTAGGCGTGTGCGTTTTTCCGCAGAAAATTATTAAAATGTTAATTTGTGATTTGACACATATAGGATCAGATATTTTGGGACCTTGACCTGTGTTACACATTAGTATTCAACCTGCGTGCTGCAGAAACCTTGTCTTTTGAAAATGTAAACTATATACGAAATGTTTTACTGGCATTTTAATTGTAGAAAATCGAAATATATCTGTGAAGACTGTGTTTAGTGCCAAAAATAAGTGTAGTGGTTATTTTCGTGTAACACCAAAGGAGACCTTGAATTTGACTAATTTAGTATATCTTCATGTATGTCAGTACGTAATCAAGGTCTTTATTATAGATCTATCTTATGTCAACACCGTGAAGATATTGTTTGTAAAGACATAATTGGTTGTTTGGAAAAATATGTTTGTTTTATTACTTCTATTTTAATTGTTGCAATAACTTTAAATATTATTTCTAATTTAAATATAAAATCTAATTCTTTTATAAAAAATATTATAAAAGAATTGACTGCATAATGTTTTAATTTTATTGAAACAAAAGCTTTTAAGAAGTTTTCTAAATACTATCAAAATTAATAAAATCATCAAGAATAAACCTTTCATAAAAATATTCCGTGTTGCTTTTTTCTATCAAATTCTACTGGAGTTTAAACAGCAAAAAATAAACTAGAAACAGCCCTAAATTAACAAAACATGGAACATTGGTCTTTGCACACCGGTTATAGATAATTTCAAATATAAAGTGATAAATACGCACATACAAGATAAACTACGGTTTATATTCTGAATTTATCTCAAGGGGAAATGAATGTAGCAACCTGACCTGTGGACTGCAAAATCTAAAATTAGAAAAAAATTACATTCAAAATGGACTCGTAAATTAATAAACTGCATCATCCTGTACTTGGTCATCAGTAAATCAAAAGAGTGACAGGGTAAAAATGGTTATAGTGAAGACAGTTCGAGCTATGGCTTCGTTCGCGGCGCAGGCTGCACTGCGGTCGCGATGGAGCTCACTGCTTGAGTCGACCAATGTGGATGTTCCTGGGGAGGTTACCGATGGTGTCCGGTCTGTCGTTGGATGGCTAAAACAGGCACGTGTTTTCATAGATGTCGTGTTGTAGTTATACTGGCTGACTTCGGCTAAGTAATTCAGATAGCTGGTTATCGTACTCATGTTAATGTACAATAAACATTTCCCTGCTTTCGTTTCTCTGACTAAAAACTTGGGGGTCTATTCCCGTTCTCTGTCCAACATTTGTCCAAAACAATTACTATCAAATAAGAATTACTTAACTGGTGTGATGCGAATGAAGCTTCATACTTGACATTTTCTTTCGATTTGGTTGAGTATTAATTTGACAATAATTATTTTGGACGGAGAATGGGAGTAGACTTTGACTGCTGTCAAAACTTATTATTATTATTATTATTACTAGTACTATTACCAGCTGTAATTTGAATGCTATAGTTGTTTCTTATTTATTTGTAACATTCTCAAAATCAAGCTTAATTCTTATTCTTTTGCAGTAGTAATGTCTGTAGTACTTTCTCACTTTGCTACATTATTGTTATTTAGAGATCTCAATTCTTGGTCATATGCCATATCTTGGAGAGGTTATTGACGGAGTCCAGTCGTGTTTTACTGGTGTGAGGAAGATTACATATCACCTGGAAGGGTACTTTTTTCTGCAAGGATCCATTAAGGTGTTTAAAAACCTCATTAAGACCATTGCAGTTCTGCCTGTGGTAGGATTCCCTGTCTGTATAGAAATCCTATTCTAGGTATATAGGGCGACGCCCTCGACTGGTTTCCACCCGCGCTAAAGAAGGAAGGATCGGCTCGCTTCACCTGTCCACCCTTGAAAGGTGATATCATGTAATGCGTGGGATCCTCGTCCCCTGTCCGCTGGCCCCATTCGGGCATCAGGCGAGCAACGAACTGCGTTCGCGTTCGTATCTACCGCCTGCACCGGAACGGATTCGCGTCGACTAAAGCCCAATGTCAAAGCACACTTGGCTCTATTTATATTGGAGCAGAGCGGCATGGAAGCGATTTTTTGTAACGATATTATACTTAGCATAATGTACTTTCTGGTCTATTGTGTAACGTATAAACTAGATACGAGCCAATATCTTCCGTTGAATGCGCGAGCATTCTCGAGCGTGCGTGAGAATTTTTGCTCAACATGGATTGACCCTTAAGATCCTATGTCCCTACGGCCGGCAACGCATTACGATATTTAGGGAAGTACCCTAAATTTTCGCAAATGTTTATAGGCGACACTATTTTCCATCAGATAGACCGTCTGATCGTTAACGGTTTGTTGATTATAAAAATGTGACTTTACAGCGTACGTTTTCAAATGTAAATTTATTTTACCTATGGAATAAGTGCTCTTTGACTTTGACGTACCTACCTTGTACGTACCTTATACGTACATATATTCCATCGATTGATTCATTTCGTACGAAGCGTTATGCTTCCGCCTTCCCAATGCACATGCCAAAGGAATTAAATACGCTACTAATCTGTGTGTCCCGAAAAGTACAAATTGGGGCTATTCAAGGCTAGAGTGATTAGGCTTTTTTTAAAGAAACGCGTGGGAATGTGGCCAAGCGTGCGTCTATTATATACATATTTCAAACAACTGTCGTTTCATTCCGTAGGAACCAAGGAGCGTTAGGTTTTTTCTGAAGTTTCTATTTTTCTTTTGTTAGTTTCACGTTTACGATGAATTACGTTTTTTATTTTTTTGCAGGTGTTTCGAATTTATTGCCCGTGAGTGTTTGCTTTTTAAACACGCACGCACGCTTGATATCACAAAATATGCATGCACTTATTATTGTAATATATAATATTAATTACTGTAATAATAAGCGTTAAGAGTTTTTGCAACAATATTTGTTGCACGACATTTAATAATTCATCCAATTTTACTTTCGTACAAAACTAAAAATATTTAACGATACAAATCGCTCTAAACAGTTATAACTCTGTGCAGTAACACGAAAATATCAGTCCGATGCAAAACGTAGGAGCAAGTGCTGAGGTCGTCGAGAAGGACACTTACACGTTTGAACTTACTAACTTACTTCCAAATACAGATCTAAAAAGTGTCAGATAGTGCAACAAAACGTTAAGTTTATTTTTTAGTAAATTTATTACGTTTTGTAAAAAAGACATGGAACAAAGTTGTTGTTTATGACGTTAGTAATATAATCCTGTGAGGTTGTTAGTATTTTACTAACAACCGTGTATATGTATAGGAATTTTACGTTTACGCAAATTATACACACATTAAAAGCGCTAAGGGCGCGTTCCCATTGCTCGACTATATCGACTCGAATAAAACTGCGAAATGCTATAGCCACGTGTTATGCTCTTTTCAGTGAATTTAAAACTTTAAAACTCTCCCCTGTAAACTTGGCAATTTCGACATACGATACTTTACGTAGGAGGGGTCGAATATAGTCGAGCAATTTAAAGTGTCGTATCTTGTATATTTAAATGAAGTTGTTCACTATAGTATAGTATATAAAAATATATATATATATAGTATAATTGAGCATATATACACTGATTAGTATATGGTGTGAAAACACGATTTCTAAAAATTTTCACTATAGAAAAAAACACAAACTTACCTAGAATTTTTTTTTTTTATCAACTGAACTAAATGTATTATTATAGTACTCGATATATATTTTTCAAAAGGCTTTTATTTCGTTTGTAAATAATCTCAAAAATACTGACCTCAAAACCGCGGAATGACATCTATTTTTTAAATTTATATCGCAATGTAAACAAAGATATGAGGGGCACTGCCACTGCGCCCTTCACCCTGGGACATAAGTTGACAAGTTCCATGTGCCTGTAATTTCACCAGCACACATACCCTTCATAACTGCTTGGCGGCAAAAATAGGTAAGGTGGCAGTACTTCTCTAGACGAACTCTTTCTACTGTTACTAGAACATCCCTACTGGTACTAAACTATACAGTCCAAGCATTTACCCCGAGACACACCCCGGACACTCCATATAACGGTCGAAAGTTATTTACCTACTACCACTACATACAGCAAGGCGCTTTGTACACACGCGCAAATGTGTGCGTGAAGTGGCAGGGTTATCCATCACTCTCGTACTATTACATCACGTTATCAGAGCGGCAACATAGCGAAAATTCTAACGCGATGTTCTATATAATTATATTAATAGAATTGTAATAATTATATCGATATAATATTATATTTTTCATTAATTCACTAACTAGAATAATATTGAAGATTTATTTAAAATATATATTAAAAGCACTTAACATGTTATATTTTGGACAGGCACTTTTGAATAAAGTAACCAAGATACTTGAAATTGCGTGTCCAAGTTTATTATTACCTAGTTAATAATTAGGTATATTCACTACGTAATATTTATCGGCAATACAAATTCGAGAACCCTTGTCTATTGTCTATAAGCTCACGAAGTTATAACGTCTCATATTGATATAATAAAGTATATAATAAAGTATTATATATTACTCTGCACTAAATAAATGAAGAAAACAATAACTGAACGAGTCTCAGATGGTCTCAGACATAGGTTTTTTTTTTACTGACTTCGTTTCTTCTTTCGGAAAACGAAAGAAACTCCTCTCCTTATCCTGTTCATATCATGATAAACAGCCGTATAAATAGTAACGTACAATGATGTTATACGAGGGTCAAACTGAAAGTTCTTAGAAAATTAAAAACTGATTACATTAGCCTAGTTATTAGTTTTATTATATCTTTTCAAAATATTGTCCATTCACGTTAATACACCGCTGCATGCGATGGAACCACTGGGAAAAGCACTTTGCCCACTCGTCCTTAGGGGTCTCTTCAATGGCATCGCGATACGCAGCCACCGCTTCTTCAGCATTCATAAACCGCTTTCCTTTAAGTTTTTCTTTAATTTTTGAAAATAAATAAAAATCACAAGGCGCGAGGTCGGGGCTATACGGCGGGTGACCCAATAATTCAACGTTTGATGTCGCCAAATAGTCGATCGTTCGCTTGGCGGTGTGCGACGAGGCGTTGTCGTGGTGAAGGAGGATCCTACTGCGAGGTCGTTTCTCTCGAACTTTTTCCAAGACAAGTGGCAAACAATTGGTAGTGTACCATTCTGCAGAAACTGTTTTTTGATCCTCTAACACAATTGTTGCGAAATGACCTATCCTTCCAAAGAACGAGGCCACCATTTTTTTTCCCGCACTTCGATCTCTCTTCACTTTAGTTGGCAACTCCTCGAAAGGAAACACCCACTGAGCAGATTGTCTTTTGGTTTCAGGATCATAACAGTAAATCCAGCTTTCGTCACCTGTTAGTATGTCGAACACAGCATTTGAGTCACCTCCGTTAAATCTTTCAATCATTTTACGGCACCAATCCACACGATGGAGTTTTTGAGCCTCAGTCAAATTATGAGGTATCCACCGGGCGCAAAGCTTCCTGACCGCTAAATGTTCGTGGAGGATTTTGTGCACTTGACTCATACCGATGCCTAAGCTTGTCCGAATCTGCTGATAGGTCACTCTTTTGTCAGTCTCTATCATACGCCGCACAACACAGATGTTATCTTCAGTCGTCGCCGTAGAAGGCCGTCCCTCACGTAAATCATCAGTGAGATTAGTGCGACCACGTTTAAACTCATTAAACCAGTTGTAAACAGTCGCACGAGATGGGGCTTCATCGTGAAAGGCCAATCGTAGTCTATCATAACTTTCTTGTTGACTTAAATGACATCGAAAGTCATAAAAAATCATTGCACGAAAATTTTCTCGTGTTAAATTCATGTTGACGTGACACAGACAATTTTCAATTTGCCGCCAAATCGTAAAACAAATGACAAATGAATGAAATATATACTCAGTAATATTGGCAAAGAGTTCTATTTTCAAATTTAAGAATTATTTTTTTATTATATTGTTTATAAGTGGCCAGTTCTAAGAACTTTCAGTTTGACCATCGTTTATTAACGTACAAGTTCCATAATGAACAAATGAAAACTATATTCAAATATCAAAGCTGTATTAGCTCGAAAACGGCTCG